CCCCTTCCCCGCGGTCGTTTTCAGAAATTATCGAAAATTCAGGCGGTCCCTGGCCCTTCCCGGGCCTCCAGGGGCTCCCGAAAGGCGCCGGGTGGAGGGCGAAGGACACGAGGGAGGGAATCTCGGGGAGCGCGGATTTCGAAAGGAAGCGGATGTGGGGGAGGACGAGTGGTGAAGTGGCAGAAAGAGGAGGGGGGTGCCGTCGGGGGACGGCGAAGAATGTTGCAGCGGGTTGCAGCGGGTCGCAACGGGGCACGCGAACGCAAATAATGCTTAGGGAATGCGCCCAATGTCAGGTTCGCAACAGATTTCCGGGATTTGCGGTTGCGAGCCCAGTATTTGGGTCAGTTTGGTGGCAAGCGCCGTGTGGGCCTTGTTGGAGCCCTGGTGGGCCGGCTTGGGGCCGTCTCGAGCCGTCTTGGGGCCATTTTGGGCCGTGTTGGGGAGCTTGGACCCTCTAGGGACCTTACGGGGGCTACGTAGGCCCTCCTGGTGGCATGGCCTTTCGGGGGCCTCCCAAGGCCTTCTTGGGCGTCTCTTGGGGGCCTTGTGTAGGCTTGTTGGGTCTCTTTTTCGCTCATTTGGGGTTTTCCTTGGTCAGTCTTGGGGCGCCCAGGCCGTCTAGAGGCTCTCTTTGAGGTCTCTTGGGCCGTCTTGGGGCGATACTTGATTATCCCGGCAAAGCAACCTAACAGCGATGTGTAGAAGCATATATGAAAGCATTCCCCTTAAGATTCAGATGAAAATCCAGTTGTAGAATTCTGCTGTTCTCGCAGTCGTAGTCGCATTCGCGATGACAGTCGCAGCGGCAACGGCAGTCGCAGTCACAGCCTCAGCCTCAGCCTGCCTCAGCCTCAGCCTCAGCCTGCCTCAGCCTCAGCCTGCCTCAGCCTCAGCCTCAGCCTGCTTCAGCCTCAGCCTCAGTCTGCCTTCAGCCTCGGCCTCAGCCTCAGCCTGCCTCAGCCTCAGCCTGCATCAGCCTCAGCCTCAGCCTCAGCCTGCCTCAGCATCAGCCTGCCTCAGCCTCAGCCTCAGCCTGCCTCAGCCTCAGCCTCAGTCTGCTTCAGCCTCAGCCTCAGTCTGCCTTCAGCCTCGGCCTCAGCCTCAGCCTGCCTCAGCCTCAGCCTGCCTCAGGCCGCAGCATCAGCCTGCCTCAGCATTCAAAATGTGGCCCAGGAATGGAAGTTCTGGGAACTAGAAGAACACGAAGTGGCCTACAGTTGGCTCCGGGCATTCAAAATCATGCCCAGGAATGGAGTTCTGGGAACTTGAAGAGCACGAAGTGGCCTACAGTTGGCTCCGGGCATCCAAAATGTGGCCCGGGAATGGAGTTCTGGGAAGTCGAAGAGCACGAAGTGGCCTACAGTTGGCTCCGGGCATCCAAAATGTGGCCCGGGAATGGAGTTCTGGGAAGTCGAAGAGCACGAAGTGGCCTACAGTTGGCTCCGGGCATTCAAAATGTGGCCCGGGAATGGAGTTCTGGGGACTCGAAGACCACGAAGTGGCCTACAGTTGGCTCCGGGCATTCAAAATGTGGCCCGGGAATGGAGTTCTGGGAAGCCGAAGAGCACGAAGTGGCCTACAGTTGGCTCCGGGCATTCAGAATGTGGCCCGGGAATGGAGTTCTGGGAGGTCGAAGAGCACGAAGTGTGTGACTGTTGGCTTAAAACGACTTCTGCGGCACCCTGTCCGGCACCCGCCCAGACCCCCCTGTGGAGTCATCTGCTGCTCTCTTTTGACACCACTAGAAACCTATCAGAACAAGCTGTTAGGTAAAAACCTCTTTGGCTGCTTTGGACGCTGCTAAGACCCGAACAGGGGATGTGCTGAAAATGCACGTTTCCCGAAGGGATTGAAGCGATGTTTACGTTCTGGTAGTCCTGTTGAGGGCCTTCTGGGCCGTCTTGGGGGCCTCTGGAGGCCATCTGGGTCCTTCTTGGAGCGCTCTTGTGCTGTCTTGGGTCTCTCTTCGGCCTCTCTGATCACCGCTCTGATTGCTTGGGGGCCCTGTGAGGGCCTGTTGGGCCATGTTGGGCCTCTTTTTGGCTCAGTTGGGGCCTTCTTGGGCAGTCTTGGGGCCGTCCAGGACGTCTAGAGGCTCTCTTGGGGGTCTCTTGGGCCGTCTTGGGCCGGTACTGGAGTCCTTTTGGACGCTGCTAAGACCCGAACAGGGGAAGTGCTGAAAATGCACATTTCCCTAAGGGAGTGAAGCGATGTTTGCCTTCTGGGAGTCCTGTTGAGGGCTTCCTGGGCCGTCTTGGGGGCCTCTGGAGGCCATCTGGGTCCTTTTGAGCGCTCTTGTGCTGTCTTGGGCCTCTCTTCGGCATCTCTGGCCATCGCTCTGATCGCTTGGGTCCTGCTGGCAGGACCCGGCTAAGCGCCCTGGGAGGTCCGGGACGAGCTGGGGGACTGGGGGACCTCTGGCAAGGATGTCCGGTGGGCCCGGAAACCCCGATCCTGGGGGTCCGGTTTGGGGGGGAATGAGGGGGTTTCCCCACCC